TTTGAAAGCTGCTGCTTTGTTGCCTCAGCTTTGAGTGAGTCTGTGTGTGGGCCCTTTAAGACCTGCAATGCCTTTCTCTCTTGCAGCCTGTTGTCTTTCTCAGACACAATCTGCACTGGTTTCCATAGCCAGATGTTAAGGGGACTTTTCTTCCCTGCACTGATGCCTTGGGCTGGGGAGCCAGGTGTGGAACTGGGAGCCCTTGCTCCTTGGGTGGCATCCATAGCCACGCTCTCTCTCAAGATTCTTACTGGAACACCATGAGTGTAGGATCAACCCGTTCCGTGTCTTCACCCTTTTTACCATCCTGGGTGTGTCTTCTTTTCATTCTTGGTTATGGGAATTCTGTTTATCTGGTGTTCAGGTTTTCTGTAATGTAGTTGTAATTTTGATATGTTCTTTGGCGAAGGCAAGCACAGCATCCACCGACTCTGCCGTATTGTCTGGAAGTCTTCGTTGTTACACAGCATAGTCAGAGAAGGCTTTGATAGGGTGACACATAAGTCCTTCAGGGAGCCAGCCTTCACTAAATACATCCAGTTGTATGAACTCTAGGTACTCTCTAGAAATGTATCACATTTTGCCTTGTGTTACACTCACTCAGTGTGTACATCTTAACCTTAGAATAAATTATCAATATGTGATAACAGACAATGTACCTTCATATATCATTTTATTTGATTTTTCCTTTAAAGACTAATGCCACTGCATTAGGAAAGAAATTTAATGCCTATAGAACTCTTTCTTTGTATGCAAAATGAAGGAACTAGATAAAATTATTTGGACAGTTCTGCCCCATTCAAAAGTTTATATGTTCATGAATCAGAGAATAGAAATATTTCTGAGAAATAATGAAACTTGTTGAAGTTGGAATAATAGAGCTGTTAAAAGAATGTCCATGACTTAGATCTCTCTTTAACAACATGGAGTGATTGCCAATATTTGGGGAATGCTGTGCTTCTCAGCAAAACTAGATCCACAAAACACTGTTCCTGTGGGCCACCCACTCTGCATGGAATAACTTCATCCCACAGGGCCACCTACGTGGAATTACTTCATCTTACAGATTGCTTATTGTTCGGTGTTGTTTGTGGTACACATTCCTAAGCTCCTTCACTAAGTATGCATGTCCACCAATATTTCCAGTATACTTCACTGATCTAGTTAAAAATTCCTCAAGAATGAATTCTGTGTGCTGGATAGTTTCTTCAATGTTTTATTTTGTTTTTTCAAGTGGTACTATTTTGGAAAAAAAGAAACAAGAAAGCACAGAAAAGTAGAAAAACCTATAACTTGGAACAGATTTGGGAAGAAACAGTTTCTCAGAGTAATCATAGTACAGGTGATCTGATTATTAAAAGCAGGTACTCATCTTTCTGAGGCTCTGTTGAGGATATTTTCTAAGAATCACAATTCTGTTAATCCCTGTACTGACTTCCTCAAGTGTCCTCATGGAGCTATTATTCTGAGTTCTAATGAGCTCACTGAGATGAGCCATAAGTGGCTTTCGAGGGCCATTTACTTGATGAGCAAGAGCTACCCCAGATGAGTCACCTTCACGGAAATGTTACTGTAGTTGCTAGGAAGGCCAACTTAAGTGAAGTCTCGCTGAGAAGCTGTACCACCAAGTTAATCAGCTGTTACCAGACCATTTTCCTGAGTGACCAAGTGTGGAGAGAATAAAACTCACCATTGCTGTTTATGTATTCTGTGGCAGTGTTTTTGCTCCCTTCAGGAACCAACAGCTTACATTTGACACAAACATGTATACACATATGTACTGCATGACTAATTTTTAAAAGTGACGTATAAGTACATGGCAGCCTACTTTAATAGGTGTTATTATTATTTGATTAAGGCCAGCAGACCAGGAGATGATTGCCATTGAAAAGATAGTTTGTTACTCACAGTTCCTAAGAGGAGGGGCACATGATGCCACATTGGGCCTTAGGAGAACCACTGGAGTAGTACAGGAGACAGAGGGAGAGGGGGAAACTGGGCAAGAGCCTTTATTGTGATTTCTGAAGGAAATAACAGGTGAGGGGGAGTGGGCAGGGTTTGGTTTGGCTAAGGTGAATAATTTTAGGAGGCTTGAGGGTACAGGGGCTGTCCCTGGTTATCTGATACCTGGCCCGAGGGTGATTAGGGCAGAGTTGGAAAACCTGATAAAGGGGTGTGGGCCCTGGACTGGTTGGATGACATTTGAAAAGCATGCTCAGGAGGTAGGTGTTTACTAGCTCTAGGAAGTGGCAAACCTTAGGAGGGACAGTTCTAAGGCCCCTGACTTCACAGCACCAGAATACAGAAAATAAAAGACTTGGTTAATACAGAGACCTTTCTGAGTTATTTTAAAATTCAAGGCATAGACATCAGTGAAACTAGCAAAGTACCTTTGAAGAGTCTCCCTCCTTCATAAAAGGAACAAATAAACTAGCAAAAACTGAAATAATCAAAATGTTCAGAATTTATAAATGAACCAAAGGCTTTAACTATCCAGGGAGCATTTATTTAAGAAAAATAGAATCTTTATAAGAAGAGTGAGTTTTTGTGGCTTTTTAAACACTGTGTTCCCATCTATCCCTTACCAGCTCTGAGATAGCCTTGATAACCAAAAGCCTGCAATCACCAGAGGGAGCAGAATAGGTTCAAACTTATCAAAGCTTTATTTCTAGTGAATTGTCATTGTTTGACCTGTTTCTTGGTCCCCTGAAAGATCTCACAAGTCTGAATTTGACCTGACTCAGAACTCATTCAGTGTGAAAGCCTTTTCTCTGGGAGCATTTGTTGAAGAGGTTTGGAGGCAATTAAAAAAAATTTTTTTTCTTTATTGATTTTCGTTATCCATTCACTCATTGATAGATACCTTGTTTCCATTTGCTTTATAGTAAATAATGCTGGGGATGCATATATCTTCAAGTTAGTGTTTTTGTTTCTTTCAGTGAAATACCCAGAAGAGGTGTTGGTGGAACATGTGTGTGTGTGTGTGTGTATATGGTTGTAATTTTTTTAGGAAACTAGAGTTTTCATATGCCTCTACCAGTTTAAATTCCCACCAACAGTGCGTTAGGGTTTTCTTTTCTACACATTCTCCTCGACACTTGCTATTTCTTATCTTTTTGATAATAGCTGTTCTGACAGGTGTGAGGTAATATTTCACTGTGGTTTTGGTTTGCATTTCTCTGATAATTAGTGGTGTTGAGCACCTTTTTATGTACCTGTTGTCTGTCCTTATATCTTCTTTGGAAAAATGTTTCCTTAGGTCCTCTGTCCATTTTTAATGGGATTGTTTGTGGGTGTTTGCTATTGTTATGAATTCTTTATGTTTTGGATGTTAACCCCTATGAGATACATGCTCTGCAAATATTTTCTGCCATTTAGTAGGTTTCCTTTTCATTCTGTCAATGGTGTGCTTGCCCTGTAGATGTTTTTTAGTTTGATGTAGTCCCCCGTTTATTTTGTTTTTGTTGCCTTAGCTTTTGGTGTCAAATCAAAATTTTTTTTTTTTTTACCAAGACCAGTATCCTCCCTCTTATCTGACCTCTCTTGGCTAGAGGGTAGCAATGTTTCCCTGGGCTTTTTTTTTTCTTTTTTAACTCTACCCTATGGCAGTTCTGGGTTGCAGTCTTCTCTACTGTTCATTCAGGATATACAGGAGGCAAAAATAAACCTCTAGGAACTGAACACCTGAACCTCCCTAAATTCCGGAAATCTTTATTCATTCTGCCTTTTCTGTCCACATTTCAGAATCTTTCAATATTGTTTTATGTGTTATGTCAATGGTTCTAAATTGTAATTAATGGGAGTCTTTGGGAGGAATGTGCTTTTAAATTTATCAGGACTAAGATGGGAATTTTACTCAGTTATTGTCTGAATTATTAAATAAATGCACACATCTTACCTACAAGTTGCTTGTGTTTGTGGGTGTCAATATAACTAGGTATAATATTAAGAGAATTAAGGTACATTTCTTGTGGGAGCTTACAGGCACAAGAGTAAAATTATTTCTAGTGATTTTGGAATAGGACATGTGGTGTGGTGGTGAGGTCCTTGTTCAGGCAATGATTTTCTGACACCAACTGCATATCCTTTAATTCAACTGAATCCTGATACCACCCGGATTTAGCACAGACCCAGAGATTAAAGGCAAAATACCTCACAAGACTGTTCCATTTCATATGCCAGCCACAAATCTTGTGTTCCCACAACCCCCTCAGATTTGATAATTTGCTAAGACTCAAGAGAACTCACTGAAAATGCTACACTAAAAATTGTGGTTTTATTATAAAAGCTACAACCTAGAAACAGCCAAAGGGAAGCAAGGAGCAGGCCCAGGTCTAAGGTGGGGTGGGAGTGGGGTATCAAGAGAAACTAGAGCTCTGTGCCTTTTCTGGCTTAATCCATGTACATATCCTCCCAGCACATCAGTGTGTTTACCAACCAAAAGCTCCACTGAACTTTGTTGTCCAGATTTTTTATTGGTGTTTCCTTACATAGCAGTCATTGATTACCTGATTCCCATGTGATTGAGCTCCTCCCATCCCTCCCTTCTCCTTGGAGGTCCAGTTGGCCCAAAGTTTCAATCTCTTTAATCAAGTGGTTGGTCTTTCTGGTGAACAGTCCCTATCCTGAGGCTATCTAGGGGTCACCTTGAGTCACTATTAACATAACAAAGGCATTCTTGTTGCTCAGGACTCTGTGCAGCAACTAAGGACAAAGACAGGATATATTCTTTATTCTACCACAGTTATCAAATTTCAAGGACAATGTGGCATGTGAGTGGTGCCTTGAAAGATGGGTAGGATTTAAACAGGCTAAGAAAGTCACATTAGCGATCACAAGTGCTCATTCTTGAAAGTGCAGACTTCAGTATGTAGAAATATATCTAATTTTTTTTTTAGCTGTAGTGAAGGATATGTAAAATAGCAATATTAAAGAATAAAGCCAGGTTGGGCCTCTCATTTAATAATATTTGTTAATCATAGAAATTTTTATTCCTACAGAGCAGAAGAAAGAAGAGCTCTGTTTATGTTTTTCCGAAGCCTACACTGCTTTGTGGAATGGTGTGAATATCAGAAGCGCACGTTTAAACATTTCAAGGTAGTGTCTGAAGTCTTTAAATTTAAACAAATATGAAAAAGTGAAACTCGTTTTAATTTGGAGATTTAACATAACATTCTTTCATTAAAGTTTGTTTTTGTGTTTTTTTTTTTATCTTCACCTGGGGACATTTTTCTATTTTTTGTTCAGATAGAGTGGGAAGGAGAGAGAGGAAGAGAGAGAGAGAGAGAGGAACATCGACATGAAAGGGACACATCAAGTGGCTGCCTCCCGCACAACCCAACCAGGCCAGGGACAAACTGCAACCCAGGTACGTGCCCTTAGCGGGAACCGAACCTGGGTCTCTCTGGACTGCAGGCCAACGCTCTAACCGCTGAGCAAAACCGGCCAGGGCTCTTTAAAGTTTTTAAACAAAAGATTTTTTAATTGGCTTCTGGAATTTGCTATTATTTGGAATAAATGAAGGAGGAATGCTTCTGCACAAATCACTGAGTCTTACGTGATGGAATATCTTGAAAGAAGTGTGGTTATATTGTTATTTACTTTATAATACACATTTTGAAAAATTAATATGTCAAGAGTACTTGAAGTAAAATGACAAATGCTGATAAAGAGCCCTGACTGGTGTGGCTCAGTTGGTTGGGCATCATCCAGCGCACCGAAAGGTTGCTGGTTCCATTACCAGCTCGTATCCCGGGTGTAGGCACATGCCCAGACAGGAGGCAGCCCATCAGTGTTTCTCTCTCTCCCTTCTCCCTTCCTCTCTCTCTCCCTCTCCCTTCCTCTCTCTCTAAAAATCGATTTTAAAAATCTTAAAAAAAAAGAAAAGAATATAATCATAGGAGGCTTATCACATAGCGGTATAATTTTTACTTCCTGAGCTAGATTGTATTTTGAGCTTCTTAATTACCATATATTTCAAGTTTATTTATTTTTTTAAAAACTAATCTTTTTATTGATTGATTGATTGATCGATTGGTTTTAGAGAGAGAGGAAGGGAGAGGGAGAGAAATAGAAACATTGATGAGAGAGAACATCGATTGACCACCTCCTGCAGGCCCCCAACTGGGGGATCGGACCCTCAAACTGGGCATGTGCCCTGACTGGGAATCAAACTGATAACCTTTTGGTTCATGGGTCAGTGCTCAACCACTGAGCCATACCAGCCAGGCGTGTATTTCAAGTTTATATATTGAATGCTGATTCTTGTAAAGTAATGCTTATTAAGTCTGATACTCATACATTCAAAGACTCCTTTCCATCCCTTTTGTTTGTTCTTTGGTGTAACTGGAATTATGTTTTTCTGCATTGTGATCTCCCAGATTACATCCCATTATTGACAGCTGTGATCCACACAAAACCAGTTCTGAGTCAACATAAGTAATATCTCAAGGTTCAAGTTTCCCCAAAATCTAACCTAGGTCATGATTATTGTTTTTGTGACTGGTATGAACTCTTCTTTATTTTGGATTCTGTTATTATTATTTGCATTCAGTTTGGTTGAGCTAATATAGTCTGTCAGGCATAGGGTTTTCTTTAGAATAAACATACTAGTGCCTGTACCGTATTGTGACCCCTTGAGGAGCTCTCATGACTATGTTACCTGCAGGTGCTTTTGGCCCCAGAACAGTTAAATTGGTCTTCACAAAGGATTGAGGACTGTGCTGGCAGTTATTGCAATGAATCACCTAATGTGGTTATTTGCTTATACATTTGAATGGGTTGTGGGAAATGTGAGGGCTAGTCCCATTTGCAAAACCAGTTCACCTCCAGGTGCTTTCAAGGCAGGTGTAGAAGTCTAATTGGTGTATTTTTCCAGAGGGTAGAGCACTTCTGTGAGCTGGTCTTTGCTGGTGATAAAATGACTAGAATGGGAAGAAGTGGTCACATTGTTGTGCAACCATCATCAATATCTAGCTCCAGAACGTTTCATTATGCCGAACTATGTAGTGTTGGGGGTATGGTGGATGAATGAAATGTAATCTTGAAATATACATTCTCATGACCTGGTCAGCCAAGGATCTAAGTATGCGGGTGACTAGATAAGGTTTGCCTAAAGGGTTGGAACACCACCCTGTCTGAACTGAATGTATTGAATATGTGTGAATAGATAAGGTTTGCAGGTCAAAGGGTTGGATGCCACCCAGAAAGAGACAATGGGCGATAGATAAGCCCAGGTGTGAATGGATTCGTTTTGATGTTTCTCCTTTGATGTTTCTTAGCTGAAAAAGCGAGAGATAGGTAGTAATATAGTAGGCTTGGCTGTATGGTCAGCAGAGATGCCATCTCAAGGATCTAATTACCTAAAACACCATGTAGTCTAGGGAACCACTTTGCAAATAAATTGGGCTACATCCAGAGATCTGGAGCATTTGCTCCCTTGCGATGCTCCCCTCACTCCAAGCAAGGTCTGCTTGTAGTTCATTGCGTTGCAACGACCCCTGGCAGGCTGAGAGAGTTGGCAAAACTAAAACTCTGTCCCCATTAAACAGTAACTTGTCATTTTCTTCTCTCCCCAGCTTCTGGGAACCACCACGCTGTGTTCTCTTTCTGGGAATTTGAGTGCTCTAGTTACTCATTTAAGCAGAATCATGAAATGTATCCCTTTTGCCTGGCTTATTTCTCATAGCATAATGTGTCACGGTCCATCTGTGTTGTAGCAAATGTCACGATTTCATTCCTTTTTAAGGCTGAATAATATTCCATTTTATGTTATTTATCACATAATTGTTTTTCCATCCATCTGTTGGTGGACATTGGGTTGTTTCTACCTTTTGGCTCTTGGGATTAATGCTTCTGTGAAGAATGGCTTACAATATCTTTTATATCTGTTTGAGTCCCTGCTTTCAGTTCTCTTAAGTATGGCCTGTGAGGGGAATTGCTAGGTTATATGGTAAGTCTATGTTTAATTTTTTGAAGAACGGCACAGGTATTTTCACAGCAGCTGCACTGTTTCGTGTTTCCAGCAGCAGTGTACAAGGCTTTCAGTTTCTCTGCATCCATTTGTTATTTTGAGTGTTTTGTTTTTTTTTCTTGTCATAGTCAACCTAATGGGTGTGAAGTAGTATTCTCATTGTGATTTTGATTTGTATTTTCTTCCTCGCCCGAGGACCTTTTTTTTTTTTTTTTTTTGCATTTATCTTCAGATAGAGCAGGAGGGAGAGAGGGGGGGGGGGGGAGTAAGAGAGAGAGAAACATTGATGTGAGAGAGACACATCGACTGGTTGCCACCTATACAATCCCAACTGGGGCCGGGGACAAACTGCAACTGAGATATGTGCCCTTAGTGGGAACAGAACCCGGGACTTTCTGGTCCGTGGGCTGAGCTCTAACCGCTAAGCAAAACTGGCCAGTTTGTATTTTCTTAATAACCGATGATGTTGAGCATCTTTTCATATGCTTTTGGGCCATTTCTATGTCTCCTTTGGAGAAATATCTGTGTGAGGCCTTTGTACATTGAATTGGATTGTTTGGTGTGTTTTTGTTTTTATCCTCACCCGAGGACATTTTTCCATTTTTTGTTCAGATAGAGTGGGGAGGGAGAGGGAGAGAGAGAAACATCCACGTGAAAGGGACACATTGAGTAGTTTCCACCTGCATGACCCAACCAGGGCTGGGGACAAACTGCAACCAAGGTACATGCCCTTAGTGGGAACCGAACCTAGGTCTCTACTGCTGAGCCAAACTGACCAGTGCTGTTTGGTGATTTTATTGTTGAGTTGTAGTTCTTTATATATTCTAGGTATTGATCCCTTATCTGATACAGAATTTTCAAATATTTTCTCCCATTCCCTGGATTGTCTTTATATTCCCTTGATAGTGTCTTTTAATGCACAAAAGTTTTTAATTTTGATGAAGCCAAATCACCTAATTTTTTGAAGCCATATCCAAAATATCATTGCCAAATTTAATGTCATAACAATTTTTCTTTTTGTTTTTCCCTAAGAGTTTTTAGTTTAGCTCTTAAGTTTAGGTGTTGATTTAATCAAGTTTGTAAGCTAAGAATTCAACTTTATTCTTTTGCATTTTCCAGCACTGTTTGTGGAAGAGACTGTCCTTTCCATATTGGGTGGTCTTTGCACCTTTGTTGAAAATCATTTGAGTGTGTGTGTATAATATACACAAAGGTTTGTTTCTGGGCTCTCTATTATATTCCATTGTTCTCCTTGTCTCTCCTTATAGCAGCACCACACTATTAATTAGTGTAGCTTTTAGTTACATTGTGAAAGGAGGACATGATCCTCCAATTTTATTCTTTTCAAATTTGGCTATTTGGACTTTTTTGAGATCCCATATGAATTTTAGGATGGGTGTTTCTATTAAAAAAAAAAAGTCACTGGGACTTTGAAAGGGATTGCATTGAATCTGTGATTGCTTTGGGTAATATTGACATACGAACTATTCACTTCTCAGTCCGTGGACACAAGATGCCTTTCCATTTATGCATGACATTCTTAGTTTCTTTCAGGAATGTTAGTAAAATATTTTAATTTTAAACCTCTATTTCTTTAACTATCATTGTCAAGAATGAAGCAATATCTATTTAAGCTAATGGTATCAGCATATTTTTATTCTCATTTTATTTGTGACTTAAGGTGTATATATAAGGTTGTCAGGCACCAATGTTCATGTCTTCTTTTTATCTAGAAGTCCCAAAATTATTTTTTAATGATTATTCTATAACTCAGAGTTTTTACCAGTGCTCTTTCCTAATTATTTTACCTCAACCACTGGCTTTCAAATCCTGTAAAATTTGAGAGTTTTTTTATGATTTTTTTCTCTTTAAGTGTAATTATATTAGGAACATAGGAATAGCCCAGCCGGTGTCGCTCAGTGGTTGAGCGTCAGCCCATGCACCAAGAGGTTGCCAGTTTGATTCCCAGTCAGAGCACATGCCCAGGTTGTGGGCCAAATCCCTAGTGGGGGGCATGCAGGAGGAGGCCCATCAATGTTCTCTCTCATCGACGTTTCTATCTCTCTCCCTGTCCCTTCCTCTCTCTCTCAAATCAATAAAGAAAAAATAAAATAAAAAGAACATAGGAATAGCCCTTGCTGGTTTGGCTTAGCATCAGAATGTTGACCTACAGGCCAAAGTTGGGAGTTTGATTCCTGGTTAAGGGCACAAAGCTTGGCTGCGGGTTCGATCCCTGACCTCGAGGGTCATGTGGGAGGCAGCCAATTGATATGTCGTCTCTCTCATATGAATGTTTTTCTTACTCCCTCCCTCCCTTCCTCCTTCCCTTCTACTCTGTCTTTAAAAAAAATTAATGGAAAAATATCCTTGGGAGAGGATTTTTTAAAAATCATAGCAATACATTATTTTTCTGACATCTAGAAGTGTGAGAGAACTCTTACATGACTGTTTTCCCCAGTATTTAAAAAATGTCCTTGTTGATTTTTAGAGAAAAAGAGAGAGAAACATCAATGTGAAAGAGAAACATTGATCAGCTGCTTTCTGCCTGTAAGCCCATACCCCGGGTATGTGTCCTATCCGGGAATCGCACCAACAACGTTTTGGTGCATAGAACAACCAACACTCAACCAACTGAGCCATGCTGGCCAGGGCCTTTCCCCCAGTTTTGACTACACCGCTCAACTCTCCTTACCAAGTTTATTTTTCCAGATACAGTTACAATTTATTTCCATTAATTTATTCAAGATATGATAGCTTAACGATTCTGTTTTTTTCAAATACAACAGAACCCTTCTGTTTAAGTGGATTTTATTTTGCAATGTTTATTGGATATTCAGTTCAGATGTGCTCACTATCATGCTAGGACTATGAAAGTACAAAGGAAATATTTATGTGTTTAATGTACTCAGTGAGCTTTCAGTCACAGAGAAATGAGGCATGCACACAAAATAATGAGAAAGCAATATAATAGTCATGGTTATCAGTTACTGAAATAAAATAAATGAATGCATTAATAAGTAGTATAGAGTAATTGTGGCCTTAAGAGAGATCACAGATTGTTTAATGAAAAAGTTTCATTTTGGGGTCAACCTTAGCAAATTGGGGAAAAACTGAAAAACAGGAGGTCATTCTAGGTAGGGAAAACATGGAAGCAAATGCTTAAGCATAGAATAAGTATTTGTTCTGGGAGTAACATACAGAGACCAACTTGATTCTAATATGTAGTTTATGTTGGAAACAGTGTCGGTAACTTTTATATGCAGAGTTCAAACCCATGTTTCTAAAGTACTGATGATGTTGCGTGTAACCCAAAAATAATGTGGAGACTAAGACTTTTGAGTGGGGTTTGGACAAGTGGAAAGTTATTTTAGGAACTTGAATCTAACAGCATTGTGTCATCATAAATCTTCACTATTAGACTGAAGATGAATTCTCACCATTAAATGAAGGGTCTTTAGAAAATGTTCCACAGAGGTTTTCTTGTGAATAGGTCTGTTTGCACAAACATGGGTGTGTGTGTGTATGTGTGAATGGTATGTAATAATACCACAGGATTAATTTTGTTTTTATGTCTTACATTTGGACAAATTTATTTGTAAGATTCTCATTCTTGTAGTGTAAAAGGAAAATATTTTGCAGTATTTATCATGTTTTCAAGTGTTTACAGTAGAGAACTTTATGGCTATTTTCTGAGAAACGGGATGGACTTTCATGTTTTTTTTTTTAAAGCATACTGATTTTGGTTTGCTTGACTTCTTAAAATACTTTATAATCTTTTTAGAATGTTAATATTTGATAAAAGAATGTTATTTTACTGTAGCTTTTAACTATGTGACTACAAAGCAGAATAACATTGAACATTACTATATTAGATCTTTATTGGAGAGTAAAATTATGCTTTATTTGGAAAGTTTTGCCTAGGTATGAGACTGTACCCTTTTTCTCAGGCTAAGTAAAAAGATAATAGCTGCCTCAATAGGAAGAAAAGAGTTTCTACTTCATCATGAGTAATGTATGAATCATGAAAAGAAAGCTGGAGATCACTGAAAATAGTTAGCTGTTCAGAGCTTTTGGAACATCAGCCTTAAATACTTTAGGGATTCAGTAAAGGCCAGAAAAGACAAACAATTAAATGTTTCTTAGACTTATCCTCTTGCATCATTAGTAATAGAAATAATGCTTCTTAAATGTGGGTATTTGCATAAAAACATACCTTTTAAGTGGCACTCTACTATAGACTACAAGGATTTTCTAATGCTGTTTAAATATTTTCACATTACCTTGTTTTGAACTTAGAGATTCCGTCTTACTTTTTAATATGTAAGCTGTTGAACATCCTTGCTTAAAACACAAAACATTACTTCACAGTGAGATACAAAGTTGACATTAAACAGATATTGATGTTCCTTTAGACATTGTTGAGATAGATTATAAGTATGTGTGTACTTTACTTTACATGCTACATTGATACTGGTTAAAAGTATGATCCTACAGGTAATCTTTTCAAGCAGATAAAACTGTTGGGATGCTTTCCCAGGATGATGGGATTTCCTTCCAAGCGTATCTCTTCAATGTGGTTCCGGATATAACGGGTGTCATTTGCCTTGCAGAATGTGTCGTCTGTAATTGAAGTTATGTTGTTAAACTGGAAAATAAAAGGGAAAAGGTGTTCAGGTTTCTGAAATCAATCTTTTGTATGCCGTGTAATGTGATCTCAGAATATTTTATCTAAAAAGTGATTTTTAAACTATATTGTACATGCTGTGTGTCCTCGTGGTAATAAAACTCTCTCTGTGCAACCTGAGACTTTTTTTTTTTAAGTCTAAAGCATGACTTTGGAAGAACAGACTACTTGCTATTATACTAGCTAGAAAATGTCTCCTATTCTAGAGTGTTGACTCAGAATGCCTACTGTGTTCCTAAAAGTTCTTGAAAGCGCCCTGGCCAGTTTGGCTCAGCGGTTAGAGCGTCGGCCTGCGGTCAGAGAGACCTGGGTTCAGTTCTCGCTAAGGGCATGTACCTCAGTTGCAGTTTGTCCCCAGCCCTGGTTGGGTTGTGTGGGTGGCAGCCACTCGATGTGCCCCTTTCACATCAATGTTTCTCTTTCTCTCTCCCTCCCGCTCTATCTGAACAAAAAAATGAAAAAATGTCCTCGGGTGAGGATAAAAAAATAAAAAAAAACAATAATAAAAAAATTCTTGAAAGAAGTAAAAGAAAAAATAGGAATTCTTATAATGCTGAAAGTTCAATTTTAGTTTATTTTTATTCCCTTTTCATTTTTCTTTACCTCAAGTTGGTGTTGGACAATGAAGCCAGTTGGAAAGTCTTCAGAAGCAAAAATTTATTGCCAATTTGAGAAAGAAACATAAGCCTGAGGTTTTAGTGTCCCCTCACTTTAAAGCATGTGCCAGGTTCAGTAGGAGAGACTGCGTGCACAGCTGGAGACAAACACCACTCGTCCTTTCAAGGTGCTCTGGACAGAACTGGAGTTTGTGGGCAGAAGAGTGCGTTGGACTCAATATTGATACTTTTTTTTTTTTTTACAGAGAGAGGAAGAGAGAGAGAGATAGAAACATTGATGTGAGAGAGAAATGTCAATCAGCTGCCTCCTGTACACCCTCTACTAGGGATGGAGCCAGCAACCTGGTCATGTGCCCTTACCGGGAATCAAACCAACCTCTCAGTCCATGGCATGACCTTCAACTACTGAGCCACACCCGCTAGGCAAGATACTTTTGATAGACAAAATTTGTCTGTGAATGTGAGGTTCCTAACAAGTCATGAGACTGACCCTGAGTAATTTAAATTAATGTCAGATATTGTGAAAGGAGTAGTCGTACCTGAAGATGAATTACACGTAGACTTTCTGGTAAATTAGGAGGCACAGACTCCAGCGCATTGTGGTCCAAATAGAGGAAGGACAGGTTGCTCAGTTTCTGTAAGGAAAAGACACTTCTACTTCAGTGAGGTCATTGCATTTCCTCACAGGTTTTAAATTCTACACACTTATATGTGGACACATGTATGTATACATAGATACTGATATAGACTCATCCATACTATTGATCAGTGTTATAGTATTTTGGCTTGGATTGTTTGTTTGTTTCACAAAGGTATACTTTGGTCCTTTACCAAGGGCAGTAGAGCCCTGCTGCATCCTCACATTTCTGTCCACTCATGCTGGTGTCTAGAGCCCTTCGAATTTGTCTGAGGAGCAGCTAATGAGATCAGTGTCTATGCAGGATTAAATTTGGATCCGGGTGCTGCCATAACTTGTCTTGAACCTCCAGAACTTCCCATTTAAGCTTTAATTTGTGGCAAAATGAATACTCCTAAAAGGTGTGTATGTTTGTTAGTAGGATGTTTCCCAAAGCAATTTATTAAATACATTTTTAGGTAAAAAATTCCCCCCCTAAGGGTTTAATGTTTGATGTCTTCATGATCAATAACTCACTATTGGGCATAATTTTATAATATGATTCCAAGATGTAGTTTCCCCTGACATTAATCTTTCACCTTGCCTTTGATATGCATTCTGTAGCAGAATTTGCTAATTTTTGTGTGTTTTTTACAGCTAACTTGCTGTTATTAATTCTTTCTTAAGCATTCTATTATTCACCACATGGGCCCCAAGCTCCTGTCTTCCCCAGTGGGCCTCACATGAATCAGAGTAACCTGACTGCCAGGGGCCTTTGCAGACCTAGGGTGTTGAGCAAAACCGCACAGTCGCTGAGTTTAACGTTTCCATCTTGTCTCTGTCCCTCCTGAGGCATGTGTGAAACCCAAAATGCTTCAACGTTCCTTTTGTGGAATGTTGGTCAGCTCCTGTAGGTCTTCAATGTGCCAGTTATTCAAAGGCTTACTAGCTTAAATTATATATATATAGTCAAATTACAATGTATAAGTTTGCAATATTTTTTGTTGTTTTTGCGGGGATTTTGTTTGTTTTTAAAGCGAGTTTAGTTTTTGAAAGTCTTCTTAGTCCCTTAAATTCTATGTAACATTGCTATATCTCTAGAATGTTCTTTACATTTGAAAGAGGGTTCCTTAAATATAGACAGAAAAGAAAAATGGAATATTTTTACATTTTTGACACATTTGTGGACAGATTATACATTGTGTGATTATCATGAACTTTATAATGATGAATATTTGATAATTTTAGGTGCATATTACAAGCTACAAACCTTCCCTTTGAATGAGGTTGTCTATTGCCACCAGTAATAGTGTGATCCTTTATCTGGGGTTCCTTCCTGGCCTGAGGCGATTACTTCTCCATAGACCGTGCATTTCGAGACAGCCTGGCTACTTAAGTCACATACCTTCCCTTTTTCCTGTACATATATTTTCTTGAATTACTAAGTTAAGAAAAGTATTTAATTTTTACCACATAAATAATTTTGTTTTATTTTTTATTTATTTATTTATTTATTTATCCTCACCTGAGGACAATTTTGCATTTATCTTCAGATAGAGTGGGAGGGAGAGAGGCGGGAAGAGAGAGAGAGAGAGAAATATCGATGTGAGAGAGACACATCGACTGGCTGCCACCCACACGACCCCAACCGGGGCCAGGGACAAACTGCAACCAAGGTACGTGCCCTTAGAGGGAACTGAACCTGGGGCTCTCTGGTCTGCTGGCCGAAGCTCTCACCGCTGAGCCAAACCGGCCTGGGTGATAATTTTATTTTAGATTCCATCATGGACTTCAAAAGAAAGGCTGTTTATAGAATCTTATGGTCTAATATATTGAGGTATTAAAAGTAAAATTTAGTGTTTACTTCCAGAACTTTATTTTTTCTGGCATTGGTAAATTACTAATATTATAAGAAAAAAGACAGGAAAACTCCTGTTTTGAGGTTTTGTACAGTCTTGGTGCCATGAGGGTGTGAACCATGCCTGTATAAAAAATCATTTGCTGTGAAAAAATTGGAACACAAAGTAGTCCTTGAAATAAGACAAAGGTTGTATGACTTTGTGAGGTACAGGCATGAACTACACAAAATGGACCTAACAGTATGGCTATCTATTATGGAAAAATGTCTTCAGTTATTAAATTAAAATTGTCTTAAAACAAAGCCAAATTCTAGACCAGATTTTCTCTTTTCCTTTACCACGTTGTCGTCGGCTGTATACACCAGTGCTGTGTTCGGTCCGCTGTGGCATACTTACTTTGAACGTGTTTGCTTTAACCCCTCTGCTCTTGAGTTTGTTGTATTTTGCATTAAATAAAGTAAGCTTGGGAGGGAGGACTGGGAGCTTCACCAGTTGATTTTCAGCTAGTGTGAGTTCTTCTAATAGAGAAAGTTTTGAAAACGTGCTGTCTTCTATATCTTCAATCAAATTTCCCGTAAAATCGAGTCTTCTTAAATTAGCTTGAAGAGAAAATATACAAAAGTTAGAAGTTAAATTCTCATTTGTGTGGACTGAAGAAAAGTATTTGTTCAGGTCATCCAGACATATTTTGTTCTTTGTGTCTAGCAGAGTATCTACGATTAGTAGCTCAGGAACTTTGGTTGCATTGACGCTGAGCATCTACTCGGTTTGACGTTGATGGCCTTTCTCACTGGAATCCTAGAATGGAACATTCAGAAGGAATTAATAGTCCTACTGTGCTCCGAGTTCTCAGGATGCTCGGGCAGTTTGAAAGAAATTCTTGTTGCAAATCATGGAAACTAAGCATTAGCATTAAATTGAATAGAATCATATAAATTACTTTGGGATTTTTTGCCAGCATGTCGCATTGCCATTGTGGGTATGTTATCTGAATCTTTCTATCCCTTATTGGTTGACAACAACAGATACAAATGTTCTCTAATTTGTTAAAGTGATGCAGATTAAGAGAGAAATTCAGTGTGCGTGTGTGAGTGTATCACTTTGTGTGTGTCTGGGACGATTAGGAAATACAATAGCTTCTCATTATTTAAGATACTCATGTACATAATTGCCACAAACACTGAATTAATGAATAGGGAACCATCATGGCTTCTAGGGGAAACACAGGGCTAGGTTCCTTCAAGCCTTTGTCACATATTTTCATCAGCTAATTGGTACATAATCAGTACAATAAAATAATCAGTACATAATTTTATGTGTGTTTCCTTTTAAACACATCTTTTTTAGTATAACCTGTTGATCATTAATATTAAACTCAGCCGCCATCAGCACTGTGACTGATACCTGAATGAAGATAACCTAACGTGTATTTTCTCCATAAGGCATATCACAGCCAGCCTTCTTGCATTCAGGAACACTAGACGGCACGTCTGCACTATGCTTGGGGACCAATTTAAACTGTGAAAAACACAAACGTGAAAAATGTGGCACTAGGTAGTCTGGACAGGACTCTCGTTTACAGAATAAAAGCAGAAACCCAAGGTCAGAGAATCACCTATTTGACCTCGCCTGGGCAACTCACATGTTTTTGCCACTGTGCATTTTTTAAATGCCTCTCAGATAATTTTAATCATATAGCCAGATTTAAGAGCCATGAATTAAAAGAAGGAAAAGCAGTTCCTATACTTTTATAGTGAAGGTGGAAAATAAAATATTGTTATTGGAGAAGCATCCTGAATATATTGGTGCTGCTGACTGGCTGCGAAAGTGCCGCAGATATCGATTTGAGGTTCCAAATACACCTTACCTAGTCCACAGATAATGAGGAACAACGGTACTTCAGCCAGTTGGGAGTGACCAGAGGCAGCGTGAATCCAGTTACAGTTAATCTTGTAAATGTATAGTGGGGCCAGTGTGCATTTCTTGGTGTGATTTTCTTCAGAAGCACTTGACAGCATAGGAATCTAGAAACTTTGTGGGGGAGTATTGATCTAGGACTGGGACCAGCCCTGCAGAAGTGGGGGTTTTGGTGTGCTCAAGGCAGTGCCCTAGTGGTAAGCGTTAAGATTTGATAGGACGCCGAAGTCCAAGGACACTGGTTCCGTGGTGGAATCATCTGAGAAGTTTGGTTGTGTTTAATGATGAATGCCTGGGCCTCTTCCCCGACCTCAGCGCCTGCCTATCAGTATTTTTTAAATGTCTCCCAGATAATTTTAATCATACAGTCAGATTTAAGAGCCATGAATTAAAAGAAGGAAAAGCAGTTCCTATGCTTTTATAGTGAAGGTGGAAAATAAAATATTGTAATTGGAGAAGCATCCTGAGGATATTGGTGCTGCTGACTGGCTGAGACAAACGGACCTTGTAGCACTTGAGTTGGGAAGACACAGCTGCCTGTCTGTTACATGGCTGTCGACATAGACACCACAGTCACCAGTAAAAGAAGATGACAGAGATCCGAATGGAAAGGAGATTCACCAACAAATCAGTGGGTTTTTGTGAGATGTGGTGGATACTTAAATACACCAGTGGTGACTACCCTAGATGTGATACAATTTTGTGTTTCTATGAGTTAAATACTAACATGAGATAATACAAATACCTTATTTAAAACAAACTTACGTATTTCTGCAAAATCTTTGGCAGTCAGTTTTTTAATTTTGTTGAATCGTGCGTACAGGTAGGCTGACTCCTTCGGCAAGGGGGGTACAACCTCGATGTCCACTTCTTCACAGTACACAGAGCCGCTCAGACACACGCACAGCAGGCATGTGGGCATTTCTGATAGGGGAGAGTAGGAGTGTGGACAGTTTAAACATGTGTGACCTCCACTGGTAAAATTGTTGTTTTTATGTATGTTAGTACTGATTTGAAAAGGTATTTTACCAGAACTATAGATAATGGGAAAGATACCATGATTGTAGCTAGAGACCTGTGTAATAACTGCTAATTCACCAGAATTTTATTTTAGATGTTGTCATTCACAATTTCTTTTTTTCTCTACTTTAGCATTGATCCTTTAATTACTGAATTGATTGATAATTATATTTCCTCATATGAGGACCCCAAAAAATTTGTGAAGCAGGACTTAAGGTAAACACGAGCTTGATCTATCAGTCAGTGTGGCACAAACACAGTTCAGAGTGGGGACAGCGAAGGAGTTTAGAAACTACTGGTTAGATAAGCAAATGATTAACTTGAACATTGGCATCACCGCAGGCTCTGTTGGGATTCTGCTTCACTGTCACACTCATCACTTTTACTTGTTGTCTCCTCTCCCTTTCAACCAGGAACCGTTCATCAGTCTTTATTTTTCACCTTGTACTGTTTTAAATTTTTTAAAATTTATTTTTAGGGCCTATATTTTGCGGAATGTCTTTTATATATATATTTTTATCCTCACCCGAGGACATTTTTTCATTTTCTGTTCAGACAGAGTGGGAGGGAGAGAGAGGAAGAGAGAGAGAGAGAAACATCAGAGTGAAAGGCACACATCGGGTGGCTGCCACCTCCATGGCCCAACCAGGGCCGGGGACAAACTGCAGCCGAGGCACATGCCCTTAGCGGGAACCAAACCCAGGTCTCTCTGGACCGCAGGCCGATGCTTTAACCGCTGAGCCAAACCAGCCAGGGCCGGAATATCTTTTAATTAAGGTTTGTTGAGGTTCCCCAATTTTGGCAGGAACTCCATGGAAATGATGTCGGGTTCTCAGGGCCATGGATCGGGGAGCGAGCACATAGCATCTCTGTCCCAGTCCTACAGTGATGTCTTTGATCACTTGGTCCATCTGTTGTCCAGTGTCCCTCACTCTGGAAACATTTTTGACTTTGTAATTAATAATTATTTCCTAGAGAGATTTTTGAGATTTTAAACATCTGATTTGTCATTAAACTTTCACTCTAGTTTTATCATCCATTGATTCTTACCTGAGTTGTTTATCACCAGAGCAGTTGCCAAATAATAATTTTCTAATTCCATCATGCTTTCTATACTTGTTAGTTGACATTCTGGTATAAGGTGGAACCAATCTTCCTTCCTTCTTCCCTCCCTCCCTCCCTCCCTCCCTCTTTCCCTCTTCCTTTCTCTCTCTTTCTTTCAGTATGAACATATGAATTCCTTATCCTATGGGTCATAATACATTACCATAACGTTTATTTTTAGAATCAAATAGTCACAAATTAGCCAGTGACTAATTAAGCTCTTTTTTTTTTTTTAATTCTGCCACAGCTTTTTTGTGGTTAAATGACATACAATGAATTGCAGCTATTTATTTAACTTGTATAATTCATGTGGGTTTTTTTGTTTGTTTGTTTTTTTAATATATATAGAGAGTTGGAAGAAGGGGGAAGAGAGAGAGAGAGAAACACTGATGTTTCTAAGAGACATCGATTGGTTGCTTTCTGCAAGACCCCAACCCGACTGGGCCTGGGATCAAACCCGAAACCGAGGTATGTGCCCTTAACTATGAATCAAACCCATGACTCTTTGATCCATAGGCAGACGCTCTAACCGCTGAGCCAAAGCAGCCAGGGCAAATTATATGTTTTTGATATATGTATATACTTATAAAACCATTACCACAGTTGAGATGATTAACATATCCATCACCCACCCCCCCACCCCAATTTTCTCATGCCCTTTGGTACTCCCTCACTCCTAATATATTTTTTTAAAATATGTTTTAATTGATTTTCTTAGAGAGAAAGGAAGGAAGAGATATATAGAAACATCTACATGGGATAGGAACATTGATCGGCTGCCTCCCGCACACCTCTGACTGGGGATGAAACCCACAATCCAGGCATGTGCTCCGACCAGGAATCAAACCTGGACCTCTCAGCCCATGGGACAACACTCAATCCACTGAGCCACACTGGCCAGGCCTCCTACCCAATCTTGTATGAGAATCATGTGGTGTATGCTCTTCCCTGGCTTCTTTCACTCTGCAGAGGAAGTGTGAGATTCGTCTGTTGTTGCTTGTATCAGTCGTGCATTCTTTTTTGTTTCTGAGTTGTATTCTGTTGTGTCAGTATACGAAGTTATAGTCTTTTATGGACATTTCAGTTTATAGTTTGGGGTTATTTCAAAGAAAGCTGCCAGCCCTGGCTGGTTTGGCTCAGCGGTTAGAGCGTCGGTCTGCGGTCCAGAGAGACCCGGGTTCGGTTCCCGCTAAGGGCACGTACCTCGGTTGCAGTTTGTCCCCTGCCCTGGTTGGGTCATGCAGGTGGCAACCACTCAATGTGTCCCTTTCACGTTGATATTTCTCTCTCTCTCTCTCCCCCTCCCACTCTATCTGAACAAAAATGGAAAAAAATGTCCTCAGGTGAGGATAAAAAAAAAAAGAAAGCTGCTAAAAACATTTCTATACAAGTTGCATGGACTTAAAGTCCCAAACTATTTCCAAAGTGGTTGTGCCATTTTATGTTCCCATCAACTGTGTGAGAGTGTGTTCCAACTGCTCTACATCCTCACCAGCATTTTATATGATTGGACTTTTTAATTTTAGCCATTCAAGTAAGGTGTGTTGTGGTATCTTGTGTCTTAATTTGCATTTTCCTAAACACTGATGATGCTGAGCATCTGTTTATATACTATTTGTCATCTAGGTATTTTCTTTGGTGCAGTGTCTGTTCATCTCTCTTGCTTATTTTTCAAATGGGATTTTTTTAGTATTATTATTGAATTATAATTTAGAGCCCTGGCCGGTTTGGCTCAGCGGTTAGAGCGTCAGCCTGCGGTCCACAGAGACCCGGGTTCGGTTCCCGCTAAGGGCATGTACCTTGGCTGCAGTTTGTCCCCGGCCCTGGTGGGGTCGTGTGGGTGGCGTCCACTCGGTGTGTCCCTTTCACATCGATGTTTCTCTCTCTTCCTCTCTCTCCTTCCCGCTCTATCTGAGTAAAAAATGGAAAAATGTCCTCGGGTGAGGATAAAAAAAAAAAAAAGAATTATAATTTAGATATATTTTAGATATAAATGATTTGTCAGATTTATGTTTTGCAAATACTTCCCTCCATTTTGTGGCTTGTCTTTTTATTTTCTTATCAATGTCTTTTGAAGAGCAAATACTTCTTATTTTAATGAAGAACAATTGATTTACTTGTGTGCCACCCACTAAGTTTTCATCCTGTGTTTTCTTTTAAAGACTGTATAGCTGCCCTGGCCGGTTTAGCTCAGCGGTTGGAGCGTCGGCCTGCGGTACAGAGAGACTCGGGTTCGGTTCCCGCTAAGGGCATGTACCTCGGTTGCAGTTTGTCCCCGGCCCTGGTTGGTCGTGCGGGTGGCAGCCACTCGATGTGTCCCTTCACATCGATGTTTCTCTCTCTCTTCCTCTCTCTCCCTCCCGCTCTATCTGAACAAAAAATGGAAAAATGTCCTCGGGTGAGGATAAAAAAAAAAAAAAAGACTGTATAGCTTAAACTCTTTACTTAAGTGTAGGGTCTGTGCTGAGTTAATTTTTGTATATGGTATAAGAAAGGGTGAAGTTATTTTTTTCTTTTTCTATAACTATTTGGTTCTTTCAGCACCATTTTTGATAAGATTATCTTTTCTCCATTGAATTGTATTGGCACCATTTTAAATAATCAGGTTACCATATTGTGTAAGTCTGTTTATGGACTCTATATTGTTTCATTGATCTGTTTGTTTATTTTTGTGCTAATACCACCATATCATGATTCCTATAGCTTTATAATATATATTGGTATTGGGTTGTGTAAATTTTATTTTATTTTATTCCTATTTTATTTTTCTTCACTGTTCTTATGACTGTTCTACTTTCTTTGCATTTCCACATAAAGTTTAGAATAAGCTTTTTAATTTAAAAAAAGAAAAAGAAAAGAAAGCCTGGTAGGGTTTTAATTGGGATTGCATTGAATCTACAGATAAATTTGAGAAAAATACACATCTTAACATTGAGTTTTCTGGTCATTGAACACTATATCTATTTATATGTTTAGGTATTTTTATTTTTTATATTTTTTTATTTTTTTATCCTCACCAGAGGACATTTTTGCATTTATCTTCAGACAGAGTGAGAGGGAAAGAGAGAGGAAGAGAGGGAGAGGAACATCAACGTAAGAGGGACACATCGAATGGTTGCCACCCATACGACCCCAACCAGGGCCGGGGACAAACTGCAACCGAGGTACATGCCCTTAGTGGGAACCGAACCCGGGCCTCTCTGGACCGCAGGCCAACGCTCTAACCATTGAGCCAAACCGGCCAGGGTGGTATTTTTATTTTTATTTGTTTATTTAAAAATATTTTTCTTTATTGATTTTTAATAGAGAGAAAGGAAGGGAGTAGGAGATAGAGAGAGAAACATCGATGAGAGAAAACATGGACTGGCTGCCTCCTGCATGCCCCCCACTGGGGATTGGGTGCACAACCTGGGCATGTGCCCTGACCGATAATCGAACCAGCGACCTCTTGGTGCATGGGTCCATGCTCAACCACTGAGCCACACTGGCTGAGCTGTTTAGGTATTTTTAACTCTCAACGTTGTTGTCTAAATTTTAGTACAAGTCTTGTACATCTTTTTTTTTTTAGTCCTCACCCAAGGATATTTTTCCATTGATTTCCATATAGAGTGGAAAGGAAGGAGGGAGGGAGAGAGAGAGAAACATTGATGTGAGAGAGACACCCCAATTGGTTGCCTGCTGCACAACCCATACTGGAGCCGGGTGTTGAACTTGCAAACCAGCTACATTTTCTTGACTGGGAATTGAACCTGTGACCCTTTAGTCCGAAGGCCAACACTCTAACTGCTGAGCCAAACCAG